TCATCTTCTTCTTGCTTCTTAAGACAGTTGTAGGTGTGAGTAGGGGACCTTCCCGGTGTGAGTGGTTCAAACCTTACCGTCTGGTCTCAGGTTTGACATCTTGAAGTCTTAGAGGTGATAGTTACCAGTTATGTCAATCCTTCCACAAATGTGGTAAATCTTCATAAATAAATAAATAAACAAACACTTTAACAGATTACATGATTTATATATTTGCCTGTGGAGGAATATGAATTTTTCTTCACACATGTAACTGTATTAAGTGTAAACACGTAGAAGAAAATTACGAGTTTAACATTTTTGAGAGGAAATGCCTGGGGTCTGAAACAAAGCGTGGGTCTGCCCCTTCCTGACACTAATTATGATAGTTGCAGTATAACTACTGGTACAGTAGTTTAGGGGTATGAATTCCTACATAGTTACCAGACTAAGGAATGTTACAACTCTAGAATTGGAACAGAAACACATGGTGGAAAATTCCATGTGGGAAACAATTAGAAAAGTCTGACGGTGTCAAATAAGGACTAGAAAAGTAACATTTGCAAGGAAATACAGATTTACCTTGACATGGTCTGTATATACATGTATGTCTGTCTTGTATATGTACAGATAGATAGACAGGCAGACATTTATACATACATACCGGTTCATATAGCATAGACCTACTCTGTTTATTCTTATCTAAATGTACAGTAACTCATAATATGTATTTTAGTATAGCAAGCCTGAAGCCACTGATTTCAATGCTGGAATTTCTGTCTTGCCTTTGCTGAAATCAAACATCACTAGTAACCATGGTGACCGCACATGTGTCTTCTGCGGGTCATTGACCTTATTTGTTTGGAAGGGAAGAAGAAGAAACCTGCTTAAAACAAAACAAAATGCAAACATTCAAGGTGTTTTTATTCTAACATAATTATGTACATATACAAATGTACAGATAAATAGCAGGGATAATTTGGTAGATGATGCTTTTAAGTGTGACCACATGATCAGATTCGATTTTATTGTGAACAAACAAATACATTCATTTTTTTGGGGGGGGGGGTGACTAACAAAACAAATAATTTGACCTCCATATTATGTGAAAAGTTGAATCCCACAGTTACCCACCATCCCCGATAATCATATTTCTACAAAGGAAATTTGATATCAGCCACCAATTTTTCAATCCCTCTATGCTTTCATGTGCATATCTTGAGGCATAATACATTTAAACTCCAAAACAGACTAGATGGGACTTACACTAAGTTATTGCGAAGGGCACAAAATATATCATGGACACAACATGCTACAATTCAAACAATATATGAGGGTCTTCCGAGGCTGTCTCAAAAACTCACCCACCGCAGGGTAAAATTTGCAGGACATTGTTATCTAGCTAAGCAGGAAATCGTTTCTTCTGTCCTTCTCTGGAAGCCAAGAGGTTGAGTACACTGTAGAACTAGAAGTCTGACTTTTACCGATACCTCAACTAGAGACACTGGCATAGAACTCGAATACTTAGGAAACATAATGTTAGATAGATAGAACTGTAGAGTTGTATGTGCTGGCATAGAGCCTGGCTCATAGGCTGCTAATGTATGTATGAGGCATAACCACCAGACAATGTGCTATTTGTTCGGCAAATTAACGACACTCTCGTCACCTCTTCATCCTGTATTAACCACCGCATTAACCAGCGGAGATAGGTTTTGTTCACGTCCATTTTTCGGCCAACGAAAATTATCGGTTAATCCGGCAGCGAATCGTCTGCTGTCTTTCTTCTTGCCCAGTGGTTCGCGGCGACAGGAAACTGCGTTGACCTCCAATTACCCCATCGCTACAGATACGTTGGGGGGGAAACTATGGTTGCAAACATCGAACGTTGCCTCGAGCACAGCTCCGAGACGCAACAAACTTCAAAAGGCTTCTGTCTGAGACCAGTTAGTACCATAATTACATTAACATGTCTACAGACACAAAACTGTGGAACACGCTTTAATGTATATTAAACGATTTGTCCTTTTCTTTTTAGGGTAGTACATGTACACTATATGCTCTTAGATAAAAGATTATAACAAACTTCAAAAGGTCCCTGTCTGAGACCATGCAGTTAGTACAGTAATTACATTAACATGTCTACAGACACAAAACTGTGCAACACGCTTATATAAACAACGATTGTCCTTTTTTTAGAAGAATATAATAATGCTCTTAGATACATTTAAATTGTGAGCTAAACTTAAGCGATTTATAGACTCATAATACGTAAAGATTGATGTTTTTTCACTGTAATTAGTAAAAAAAGTTGTGTTTGTTTTGACAGTTATTATGATACATGCTCATTTGTGAAATTATTGTGCATACGATTTTCAAGCATGACAGATTTTGTTGTAAACAGTCGCATTATGTTTGTTCAATTTCACCAAGAACATAATAATAATATTATACAATCACCAACTTTGCCTTTTTTATGCAAATGCAAGATTGCACAAAACTAGATTTTATACCCGACTCTTAATATGCAACAAGAAAAGTTAACCATATATGCTTAATACATAACTTTCTTTTAAATGTTACTAAACAGTGTACTGGAAATGCTAACTTTTCTTCTGTTGTAGTTTTAGATATACATGTATACCAAGAAGGAAATAAAGCAAAATATATAACGCAAAGCAAAAAGTAGCACTTTGAAAACAAACTACAGAACAATGCACCGATAGTCTGCAGCTCTATGTAAACAACTCCATCCAACTATGAAATTATCGTTTTGACAATTTGAGGCATCATCATTATCTTTTACGTGACCTCAAACTCAGCGGGAGAAAATGGTTTCCTGTCATAACAAGGGTGATTAGAGCTGGAGAAAAGTGAAGTTGGCACCACGTTCGGCTGCCTTGACCCCTTCAGTACTTTAAGCTTGGATTCTGCCACGCCAATTTGATTTCTGGGTTCTCCTCTTAGATTGTCGCATTTCGTTTTTGCTTGATTTGAAACGACAAAAGAACAATTTATATGTACTGGGCTCAAAATACTTTTCTCTGCATAACTGTACTGGTGCAGGTATCGTTGAAAATTACAATGTACCTGCACCAGACAAATTTTACCTGCACCACTCAGATTTTAAGAAGTATCTATCACACAAAAAACTGTTCAAAAACAGTGTTCGAAATACCTGTCTGCAGTCTGCAATCTGCAGATAGATTTCAAAGATTGCAGAAGAAAAATTTATACAATCTGCAATTTTGCAGCAGGAAAAATTGGCACTTGGGATTTGGTGCTCTTGGCCCCAAGGACAGACAACACTTAAGCTCCTGTTCTGAAACAACAGGAGCTTCTTCACTAATTTACATCAACCTTGTCTTGACTTGTCTATCTTTTGTTTCCTTTTGGACTTCCAAAAATTTGTCTTCACTAATTTGCATATCGATCAATAGTTCATGCTTATAAACTTGCAAGATTGTAGTATAGAGGCTTGTGTATTTGCAGAAAGTATTTCCAAATTGCAGAACAAAATTTTGACTCTTCTGCAATATTGCAGAACACTGAAAAAAAGTATTTCGACCACTGAAAAACTATTGCCAGTATTTCTTTTGTACTTCATAGATCACAATCAATGTTCAACCCCAAAATGTTCATATTTTGGCACCAACAGTTGAAGAAAGTCCTTTTTGTTCCTAGTTGTCACAGTTTTTCCATTTATCAATGCAGTGATTTGATTAAGGGATCAAAATTTATTGTTTGCATTATAATAAAGCAGCCTGGTATGTTAACTTTCTGACTCTTATGATAGCATTTTGGGCTATCATACATGTAGGATGCCTAGGCCTGTTTAATTGCTGCCTACTTCATTGATTGCAAAAATCTGAGAACCAACAAGTCAACTTGGTGTGGCCTAAGCCAGGATTCTGACACAGATACTTAACCATGGCTTCGGAAAGGCCTATGTGAAGAAAAGATAGGAGTCATAGCTCAGTTAACAGTAGACAGTGTAAAGCTTTTGGATACAAGGACAATAGGTAAGGATATACAGACTTACAATTTTGTATGGGAAGGATAACATGCCATTTTGCAGACGTCATTCAATTTGTATACTAGATATTCCTGGCAAATATGCCCTTCTGTGCACAATTTCGTAGTCATAATGTCTACATACAGGAAAAAAATAGATTCAAAAGATACTGATTGTCTCAACTTCTGGTATGAAAAATAAGTTTGTTTTGTCTGTTGCTAACCTTGCTTGGCAGCATCACATCCTGTTTGCGATACGATAATAATGACTATTATCATGGTATTTTGGTACGATAATAATGGTATATCTGGCCAGGACGATAATTCCGCCCTCACGACACGTATGGTATGCTAAACAAACATGTACGTCATGAGATTGTCTGGCTTTTATCAAAATGTCATATTGTTAAAATATGACATACGCTACCAAACTTTTTCTACTACATATGCATTGGCCTCAAAACTTTGTGAATATATTTCACAAAGTAATTATTACGATCATAATTTACATTTTAGTAGCTTGGCTTTATTCTAAGTAATTAAAAAAAAACATTAAGGTCTCACTCTACAGTTCCACTGTGGGTCTCATGTTGAATCAGTGGTTGATGAAACTTAATTTTCTCCCCAGATCCTGGCAGTTTTTAAAAAGAAAATTAATACATTGTATAAGGTTTCAGGTATCACCCTACAGTTCCACTCTGGGTCTTATAGTTACAGTTCTATGCTTGAGTTATGGGATTGGGTGGCGCAACCACAGAATACTGGACTCGGAACCAAGAGATCTTGGGTTTGAGTCCTTACATGCTACCGATCTTGTGCCCCTGGGAAAGGCACTTAACACGACTTTCCTCACTTAACTCGAGTGAAAATGAGTATTGTCTGTCTTGTATTTGTTTCTATGTGTGGGACACAACACCAGCAACAGCTGCCTGTGTCAAATGTGTATTGTATTGTAACAGTTACAATTTCAATAAATCAAATCAAATCAAACTGTATTTTCTCCCCAGATCCTGGCTGTGGGCGAGGCGTGTGAGGAGAACACGAGGTCGCTGCGGCGGGCGGGAAACGCCGTGAGCGCCGCCACGCGACTCATGAACACGCTCGTCCGGCTCAGCTTCGGCATGTCCGACCGAGAGTTTGCCGTGCTGGAGGCCTCGCTCACACCGCAAGTGGACGACGATAGCGAGATTGTACGACTTTGTTTTCGTTTTATAGTTATGTACAATAACAATCAGCTAGGGGGCCAAATCTGATAATTTCAAGGTCTCATGAAGACCTACCCGCCTACCAACAAAACAATGAAAAAAACATAATATTTCCACAATTTGAGCTAAAAATAAGTTATAGAATGAATAACATAGGTGTCAAAAAAGGATTTCAATTGGCTCGTTCTTGAAGGCTATTTGCAAGGCAACACAGTAAAAGGTTAAGGATAAGAGGTAAAAAAATGTCTACTCTATAGCTCTATCTGAAGTTTGTAAAATTGTATATACATTACTGAGGATTTTCACTTTTTGGAGGCAGTGGTGGCCAAAGAATACTGCCCTGTATTTAATGATAGGTGGGTTTTGTGATCTTTAGTTAGTAGAGAATTAGTTTTTAGCTCTGATTACTTAACTTAATTTGTTTTTCCAGGGCTGGGAGGAGATTGTTGACGCTGCCATCACACACCTCCTGCGCACGTGTCTCGCCAAGAGCGCCAAAGACACCGTGACCAACCCCCCCGCCCTGGGGATTGCAAAGGACACTGGGAAGCTGAAGAAGCACCTGTCCCTGCTGGTGGACCGGCTGAGCAAGGGGGGCAGTCTGGCCATGGAGGGGGTCCCGGGGTTAGATGTCAAAGGTCAGGGATCAATGTTGTCATCTATGATAATGGTTATGAAGCAACTGTAATTTGCCAACTCAAGAAGTTGGATTTCACAAATTTTTGAAAGTGCAACTCTAGTCTTTGTCAAGGATTGAGCAATCCATTGCATCTGTAATGTCTGATTTTTTGTGTTGGCAAATTACAGTTTAAACTTGATTCATAATGACTTCTACCAACACAGATGAACTTTAAAATGTATTGTAATTGTAAAAAGGAAAAGCTTGAAGCTATGCTGTATCATCATGTGAAATTTTTTACCATGTAACCTGTACCTCGTTATATTTTGTCTGACCTCCTCCTTTCATGACTTCCATCAAAAGATTATGTCAGGAATCACATCTATTTTCTTTCCTCAGAATCAGACTCAAAACCTGTCGCTGTAAAAGCCAAGACGTCTCCTCGGAACCACCCGGACCCGATCATGGAGCAGAACATGGAACCGGGTGAGGTTCCGGTCGGCAGCAAACTGGGGGAGCAGAAGAACAGGAAACTGGCTCCGGTCTCGCCGAGAAACGGGGGAGGGGGGCTGAAGCCGCTGGGAGAGAGCAGTCTGCCGCCTCTGGGCGGGAAGGGCTCTCTCGGGAGCTTGCCACCACTAGGGGGGAAGAAACTAAATGATGGTGAGTATGGAGAACAAAATTAACTACTACTGGTATTCAATCTAAAGGTTCTGGGTTCGAATCCCTGGCTGGCCCGAGTGCTGCCACCGCCGGGGTGGGTGGGGGGTAAGGGCTCTGGGGAGTTTGCCACCGCTAGGGGGAAGAAGTTCAATGATGGTAAGTATGGAGAATTTCAGTGTCTGACTTTGAATCTGAAGGTTCTGGGTTCGAATCCCAGTGCTGTGCCCTTGTTAAAGGCATTCTTCAGCTGTTTTCTCTCACTCAACTCAGATGAAAATGGATAAAACTTCAGTTAGATATGTCCTCTGGGATGAGAAGTAAAGCTGGAGGTCCTGTGTTGCCTTCTCCTAGCCTTCATTGTGTATTCTAATGTTCCTTTTTTATTCTCCTATGTACATGTACCGTAGGTAAGAGGTGGTATCTTCATCATCGTTTGTTTATTTGTTCCATGCAGGTCTTAACGACCTTTCAAAGGATTCGGTACCTGACCTTGACGACCTTCCAATGCCACCGACCCACAAACCCAGGAACGACATCCAATGGGAAGAGGAGGTCTAAGGTCACAAAGGTCATGAGTCAAAGGTCACAAAGGTCATGACCTCAGTGGACAGGTCCACTTGATCTTCACGTGTGTTAAAAAATCATTTGAAGATTTGCAGAAGATTTGTCATGTGGTTCAACCACTCCTGCTCTCAACCACTACACTTCTCTTTGAATTGTGTCATAGGTTGTTGGACAAATTTTCTTTATCAGTGCAAACTGTTCCGTCCAATTGATCGAATGTACATATAAAGTACTATTGCAAGAGATGAACTCTATTCTCAATGTTGTTTGGCACTGAAAATTTCCAATGGTGTATATTTCATTGACACAAAAAAGGACTGATGAATAAATTCAGAGTGAAAGTCCAAAGTGCCTTGTACAGTTAAAGAAAGACTTATTGCTGTTGTACAATAATAAATGTAGTTACCTATGACTAGATAGTCCTGTGCCATAGATATAAGACTTGTTAGACCTTATGGCTGAATAGCGAGTGAGCTTTGTTTGTAAAATTTGAAGCACCTGTAAAATTATCTGTCAGTGAGTAAAAATGCTTGTCATGTCTTGTGTTTGTTTCCATGTATTTTGAGCCCATCTGACCGTCTTCTAAAAGGTTAGCTTTTGAAAGCTACTGAAATCTGTTTAAGGCATCATCATTATCTCACAACTTTGTGTAACAGATATTTCAAATCAGAGTTATAAAGTTCTGAATTCTGTGGAAATATACACTGTCAAAGGCTTGTATTAGTTAGACATCTTGCACCAGTGGATTTTTGCATCAGCATTTTTTGAGTTATTGCTTGAAATCATGCAACAAGAATTTCCAAAGTAATTTGTTCTTTCAAGGATCCTGAGTTATGAAGTGGCTTCAATGCATGTACATTGCACAAAGAATAAAGCAGCACAGACAGTTACTTAGTAACTAATATGTGCACTCAATAACATTACTTAATGAAATGCTCTTCATTTTTCTTTACTGTTGTAATTTGTGGAGGTGCAATTTACTGTACGTTCGCGGTTGTGGTGGCTTTGAGTCAACTCTAAACATTCTCTAAAAGGCTGGACCAGTTAAGTAGTTCACTTAGATAACTAGGGCGTTTTTGTAGTAGACTTAATTTAGACCACATAACAAAAAGTGGTAAAAGAAATTACACAAATTTGGCATTGAAAGAGGCTCTGAAAAGATAAGCAAATAACAAACTTCAGGTAATTTTTTTCCTCTTGCACTGCAAAAGACAGGCTTGTCTTGGGCACACAAGCAAATAAAGTGTTGCTTAGAAAAACTATAACAATTTAGTCAACAGCAAACCGGTCTTAATTGCAATGACTACGGCTTGTAAAGAACATTCCAATTTTTTAAAAAGTTTATCGGAAATTGTGAGGGAGGCTGAGCAATATCTGGAACAGCCAGGTACACAGTGATGTTGTCATGGTAACAAGTCAGCTGTTCTGTCTTGTTTGGTGGCTAAAAGGTGAATGTTTCAATCTTCAAGTTTGCTACTGCTACGTTGAAGTCAGCAGGTGCTCGTTATACGCTTTTGCTGCTCTAAAATCACATTGCCACATCACCTAGTCACATTGCCACATCACCTAGTCACATTGCCACATCACCTACATGTAGGTACACGTTGGCAGCAAAATGTATCAAAACATTGCATCTTATGTGTCAAGTAAATTGTGCTTTTTGGACACTTTGTCATCTACAGTGGAAAATGATATGACTTGTACGGATGTCTGTAAGAGTGCTAGTATTGTAGGAGGTGTACACTAGTTTCTATGGTGGTTTTCTGTACCGTTTTTCTGCAATAAAGTCTTGCTATATTTTGTGGAAAGTGGCTTTATTGTTGCAACTACACGTCCTGGCCGTACGATCGCAAACTTTGGCTGAGGACATTCTTTGGATAGTCCTGCACGTGTCCTGCAAAATTAAGCTGTCTTGCGTTTAAGGTTAGACATCCAGGTAATAAGACACGCCAAAAACAGTTACCGAGGCAACTGGATATGATTTTGGAAACGGTCAGACGTTTCAGGTAGCATCCACTACCTTTCGTCAGCTGTTTTGTTACGGCAAAATGCTGTCTTACATCCTTAGGTAGTGGTTGATTCTGTCACAGACTGCTACTTAGTAGATTAGATACTAGACGTGATGAACTGTGCCTGAGGTTTGCTCGTTCTCTCACAAGCAGTGAGAAATACCGTAATTGGTTGCCAGCACAAAGGGGGGATGTACATAATAGAACACTAAGGAACAGCACGAAACTGACACAGTTTAAGTGCCGAACACAGCGCATGTTAAACAGTACACTACCCTATTGTGTCCGTCTGCTGAATGACAGTTAAAGTAGTAGAACTGTAAGTCGTGATGATATTGTTTTTATGTAATTTTATAGTGATTTATGTCTTTGTTATTTCTGATTTGCAATGCATTATGCTGACAAGCACACGATTTTAGTGGAAAAAAACCGCAATTCAGCATTTTTGCTGCAAGGGTTTTTGTTGTTGAATAAACCATTCTCTCTCTTTAGAATGTTCTACAGCATCTAATTGTGGGACACTGAGGATATATCTGACAGGCCTTGTGATGATGTATTAAGGGTTATCTAAGCTATGTTTTGATTGGCTGGTAGTTCGCTTTGATAACAACCTACATCTGGAGAAAGGACAAATGAGGGGGAGGGTAACATCTGAAAGTTGTTTAGTCGGTGTCGTATGGATTTGCGCCTTAAAGTAAGATTTCGAAGACATTTCCTTGTGTCGACATCTTAATGTGAGTGCTTGGGTTCTTGAGAAAGTTGCTCTTGTTCTTGAAACTTTAAGGATTTGGAAAGGTTCCAAGTTCGTTGTTACACAATAACTTTGTTGCACAACTATTGCATAATACATGTATACAAGATACTAGTACATTGCATAAGATGCAACGTATGGCAAACTCTTAAGAATATAATCTTAGGAAACGAGACTACTAGACAAGAGACTATACTTTTGATAGACAGTCTTTGGTGGATTTCTAACACTTAGATGAAAGGTAGACATTCAGGTAATGAGATACACAAGAAAACAGCTACTTAAGCAACTAGATCGACTTTGAAAAGTGTCAGACGTTTCAAGTAGCATCCACTACTTTTAGTCAGTGACTTCTTCTTCTTCTCGGGTCACCAGTGACTTACGGGATCTGTAGTTGATACCCAAACTTAGGCAGTTTCTTCATGATGCACTTTGTCCTATATTTACAATACAGTGTAATATCACATGGCAGTAACGTTATGTACTATTAGTTAAATTTGTTCTCTTTGTGAAATCCCTTGCGAGTAGCCCGTCACTGCATCGCCCCCTCCTCCGACTTTTCCCGCCCTTTTCGCGTCTCAGCTGCCACTTTTCGAATGTCAGACGACAGAAACGGGGTGAGGGAGGGCAGATCAAGGCGCGCCGCCAAGTGCAGGTGCAATCGGCCTGTCACCCGAGACACCGCTATCTGAGCACAGCTTAGCCTCGCAAACACTCGCCATAGGTAGAGAAAAGGTAAAGGTCCCATAGGGGTGGTGGGTTGTTTATCTGCATCTGTATAGCTGGTATGACCGCCCTTCAGCGCAACACACCAGCTTCGCAGGCACGCGGCGCGGCGGCAGATGGCTATGTTACATCGAACGACTTGTTACACACAATCTTTGCACGTCTAACTGAAGGAATTATTTAAAGCTTTCAAGTGATGATGCCCCAACTGCACCTGGTGTTAACAAGTTCCACTCTAGTTCTTGGAAAATATGAGTTTTTGGTTGATAACTCTCATTTTGTTGATAACTCTCATTTTGGTTGATAACTCTCATTTTGTTGATAACTCTCATTTTGGTTGATAACTCTCATTTTGAGGGCATGACTCCACTGTGTCTAAGGCGGAGCCCATCCCTCCCCTCCCACTGCCTTTTACCTCCACAACCGAAAGTCAGGTGCCCATTTTACACCTGGTAGAGTGAGGAAAGTCGAGTAAAGTGCCTTTCCCTTTTGAGGTTATGTGGGTAGTGAGTTGTTGATCCACTCACGGTGTCTAGGGCACGGTAAGACGAAGCCCATCCCTCTCTTTCCACTGCCTTAGCTCCCCAACCAAAGTCAGGTGCCAATTTTACACCTGGGTGACTTAAGGAAAGTCGTGTTAAGTGCCTTCCCGACGTCTGACATGCCAGGAATCGAACCCGTTACCTCTCGATCTCATGTCTGCTAGTCTATCCACTCGGCCATTAAAAGTCTTTTGCCAAATCCCCGCTGACAGGGCCGTACAGCTGCAGACTCGCAGGGCCTAGGAAAAAAAATGTTGAGTTTCCTGTTTCCCGACCCTAAAAAAACTGCCGACCCTAGCCTCTTTTTGTGGACCCCTGCAAGGGACATGGATTTATTAATTTTTCGAGCTGATTAACCTTTTCTAGCTCCATGATCTGACACCTGAGTGATGAAACGTTGTACAATTGGTTTCCTAACATTGTCATTGAAAATAAAAGTGTCCTCATGCAAGTTCTACTTTGTTAAACTGTATTGTATAAGTTGGACCCCTATAAAGATATCACTGAAGTCTAAAAAAAAATAGGTAATCCCTACCTACCGACCCTTTCAGGACTGAAACAGGAAACACAACATTTTTCCTAGGCCCAGGCGATGTTTCACCTGTTGGTCGGAACTCGGGGCGAAATCGCCGGCCGGGTTTTGTGTTTGGTGGTGGGAGGGGGATTTACGTATTCCCCGAACAGACGACCAAATTAGCGGATTTTTGAAATGATACAGTCGAGAGCTACATGTGCCGTCTCGTCACCCCGAGCCACGCAGCTGTGTAGGTTAGCGTTTGGGGAAAGCGTTCTCTGATTTCCGAAGCCCCTTAATAAGGCCTGATGTAGGCTAGAACATTTCTGTGTACTTCTGTGGAAGTGTATTCTCTGCCCGATCCATAAGCCCTTGAGTTATCAAGGCCTGATGGAGGCTACAAAACTTCTGCGTAGTATCTGTGGAAGTATGTCTGGTAGAGGGTAGAGCATTTCTGTGTGAGTCTGTATAAGTGTGGTGCTGGTAGAGGATAGAGGATTTCTGTGTACTGCTAGATATGTGGAAATGTGTCTGGTAGAGGCTAGAAACGTTCCGCGTAGTTCTGTGAAAATGTGTCCTCTGCCTTAGGAGGGTCTTGTGGAGGCTAGAAAACTTCTGTTTTGCCCTGTTGAAGTGTGTCTGCTGGAGACTAGAAAAAGTTCTGCGTAGTTGTGTGGAAGTGTATGGAAGTGTTTTCAGAGGCTAGAAAAGTTGTGCGTAGTTGTGTGGAAGTGGTTCTGAGCCCGGTTAATCTGCCCCCGGTCTGCACCTGTGCGTGTTGGCAGGTTCACTAACCCCACATCCGTCTTTCCTCGCGCTCCCGAAGGAAAATTAGAACCTTCACAACTCCGGGAGGGAAGACCTTGGCAGCCGGGGGACTCTTAGATAGTTCTAAGAAGTTACTTGGCAAGCCTTCCGCTACAAGACTAAGCAGAACATTGGAGAAAAATATGCAGGGGCAATAGTATGATATTTTTAAAAAGTCACCCGCTACAGACGCTAGTTCCTAAATTGCAAATAGACCTTGGTTTCGGGTCTGTGATTGTATGGCAGGGAAGGAAAATGATAGAAAATGAAGACCTTGGCTGAAAGAGTAGTCACAAGAAGATACTAGAAGATCTCTTGGGGGTTACTCGACAAAACATCCGCTCAGAAAAACGCTACTTCCGAAAACAGAACATTGGAGCAAAATGTAGGACCTTGGTTTGGATCTATGATTGTATGAAAGGAAAGGAAATCGAAGACCTTGGCTGGTTGCATGGGTAGCCTCAATATAGTTCTAAGTAGTTAAAGTGTTTGCCATTCTCTCAATAGCATATACAAAATTCCGTGAATACTATTGTCTTTCTTCGCCATCAATGCTCAATTTTAAAGGGCAACTTTCGTTGAACAGGATTCATTTTCGCTTAACCTTGGCCGGATGTGTCCTGAACTAAACTGCTTTACTCCTTAATCTTGAAAAGAGGAAAAAGGTAATCCGCTTAACTTCATTTGCCAGAATCAAAGGCGTCGTCCCAAACTCCTTTTACCCTCCTATTTGTAACTTAGCTACGGCGACTTAAAGTCAAATTCAATACTGCGAACAGGGGAGGTCTATTGCACTTTTTCTAATGCAGTTCCCTAATCTAATAGGACAAGTTGAATAATTGAACGGCGGTTAGAATACGATAGGAGGTTAAAAATATTTCTTTGTTACCTTGGCCCCTTTGCTTAGGTCAGGGTTGGTGGGTGTGGGGAGAGTGCAGGTATATACACTTACAATAACATGGTGATTTTGATACACAAGATATAGCGGGTCGGTAGGTTGAATCGTTTCGTTGTACTCTGTTAAAGAAGGTCTGACATAGAATTTGTGATTGTTGAAGTCTTGTGTCTTTATTTCCGACGTCTTTTAACCGTTCTGCAAAGTAAAAACCCCGGCCCAATATGATGATATGCACCTACTAACCCTGACCGAGAACATACCGAAGGATTGCCTGCGTAAAAAGTTCTAGTATGGTGTTTATTAAAATTACAGATAGTGCGATGGACTAGAAAAACAATGTCAGTTTGTTCTTGATTCTGGAGATTTCCGGTAGTTAACGACTTGATTTATTCACAATTTTATAGTCTTTAATGGTCAAATTCTCCACAGAAAATCCCCAGGATTAGGAGCGAGGACATTCTTATCTTTCTTACCAGGTATATTTATGACTAGTATCACGTCTTTTTCGGTGCCTTCGCTCAACTTTAACTTGAAGTGTCA